TTTTTTAACGGGTGAAGAAGCTGAGGGCCATGTGGGTGTCTGACTTGTGCAGAGTCACAAAGCCAGTCTCAGGTAGTGGTTAAGAGCAAGGACTTGCTCTTCCAGGTGCCACTTGCAAGTGTCAGTCAGCACCTGCGCTTCCATTGACCGTGCTTGAGTAACTTTGAGACGCTCAGTACCTGGACTATAAAATGAGGATGGAAGAATGGTATATGTTTAATCGGTTGATGTATGGATTCAAAGAAATAGTTTACTCAGGCTTGGCTTATATGAAGAGCAGAGGCTAAACAAATGTTAACAATTACTTAGGACATTCATTCTTAAAGCTTTTTTTTACTACACTGCCCTGGGATTTTTCTTGGGACTTTTAAGTATAGTTTGAAGGGGGAAAAAGTATACCTAGAAGGTATGTGCTTTGAATGAATCTGTCCAGGCATGAAATAATTCATTGCTTTTCAGCAGCTGAAATGATTATTTAAGTGCTTTTGAAGCCAGTACATCTTAAGTGATCATATCAAATGGCCATTAAGTTGTTTGCAGGTTACTCTGTCTGCTGTCTTCCACCGCTGATGGTAGATAAGGACAGTCTTGTAAGAATGTGTAATGGAAACTGTTAAAGTGTTTTCAAATAATTTTTAAAATTATTTTTATTTTATTTTTTAAACTATTTTATTATTTTTTGTTTTTTATTTATTATTTTATTTTATGTGAATGAGTGTATTGCCTGCATGTAAGTGCACCCATGTCGTGCAATGCCTGTGGAGGTCAGAAGAAGGCATCAGATTCCCATGGAACTGGAGTTACTGATAGTTGTTAGCCACCATGTGGGTACTGGGGATCGAACCTGGGTCCTCTGCAAAAGCAGTCAGTGCTCTTAACCACCAAGCCATCTCTCCAGCCCCTATTATTTTTACTTTATGTGTACGAGTATATTGCCTGCATGTATGTGATTACACCCGTGTTGTGCAATGCTGCGGAGGTCAGAAGAGGGCATCAGATTCCCCTGGAACTGGAGTTAAGGATGGTTCATAGCCGCCATGTGGGTGCTGGGAATCCAACCCTGGTTCTCTGCAAGAGCAGTCAGTGCTCTTAACCACTGAGCCATCTCTCCAGCCCCTCAAATAATTTTAAATGTCTCCTGTCCTCTAATTTCTATCTTTAAGGGTTATGTATAGACAGTGGAGTTGAATAATTTCATATTAATGGAAAAAACTTAGAAATAAATTCTTGCTAAAGCATAGATCTCTAAGTTAAGGGAACACAGTTTTGAAGACTTGGGTGTTGAGAGTGACAAGAATCCAAGCTCTTGATTTCTCAAAAAAGACCTTACCAGGGTAATCCCAGCACTCCAGAGGCAGAGGCAGGTGGATCTGTGAGTTTGAGGATAGCCTGGTCTACATAACCATTTCCAGGACAGGACAACTGGGGATACATAGTGATACTATCTTAAAAAAAAAAAAAAAATTAAAAAAAAAAAAAAAAGCTATCCCTAATGATTGTCACTTGGCTTGAGACAGTTGTCAGTTGTATGTGTTTATTAGGTGTTTTGTTTGTTTTGTTTTCTGTTTTTTGGTTCTTTTGTGACCAGATCTCACTAGGTGGTCTTAAACTGACCTGGAACTTGCCTGTGTGGCCATGCTAGCCTGGAACTCACACAAATCCATCTGCCTCCCAAATGCTCCAGCATGCCTGGCTTTTTTTTTCTTTTTTAAAGACCAGGTCTTGGACTGGACAGATAGATGTCTCAGTGGTTAAGGGTGCTGACTAGAAGCCAGGCGTGGTGGTGCATGCCTTTAGTCCCAGCACTTGGGAGGCAGAGGCAGGTGGACCTCTGTGAGTTCAAGGCCAGCCTGGTCTACGTAGTGAGTTCCAGGCCAGCTGGGGCTACAGGGAGACCCTGTCTCAAAAAAACTTAAAAAAAAAAAAAAAGAGTGCTGACTGGAGCCCAGTGTGGTGGGATTATAGTCATTAACTACTATGCCTAGCTCAGATAATTTTATGTATGAAATTAACAATCATCTTTTGGCCAAAATCATGTCAGTAGTGATCTAAAATATGAAATATGCATGCCTGTAATGATTATTTATTTATTTATTTTTCTTGTTGGTGTTGTACTGAGGGTAAAACCCAGGCAAAGCTACATTCCCCAGCTCCTCAGTAATGAACAGCTCTGAATTTTTTATGTTAGTATTCAAACAGCAGAATTCAAAATACCATTATGAAGGTATCCACAAAACTGGACACCTCATCTGTTTGGTGTTCCTGTAGCCTAGTTTAGGCCTTGACACTTTAAATGAATGTATATTTTACTGGCATATCTACATGACTTTGACAAACACTTGTCAACTAGTGTATGTATGTTTTGCCTGCATGTATGTAAGTGCCTTGCATGTGTGCAATGCTCTCAGAGGCCAGAAGAGGGTGTCAGATTCTCTGGAACTGGAGTAATGAATAGTTGTTAGCTACCATGTGGGTACTGGGAATTGAATCCAGGTCCTCTGGAAGAACAGCAAGCATCCTTTACTGAGCCATCTCTCCAGCCCCAGATTGTTGCCTCTTAAACTTTGATGTACATGTAGATCACTTGGACATCTTATTAAAAATGGAGGTCTTGTTTCCATAGATGTGGCTGGGGTCTGTGAATCTGAATGTCTAAAAAGGCTTCTGCTGATTCCAATCGATATAGTCAACAGAACTCACCTTGAGCAGATGAAGCCAGATGATTTCTGTTACTCTAGGTTCAGTGTAAAACTTCCCAACACCCTACTAATTCTACCTATTAATTCAGTTATAATATGTGTAAAGCTGTATGAGATATGGAATAAATGCAGGTTGTCTTTTATTTAGATGAGGCTTCTTAGTTGAAGGAAACAGCTTAAACCAGTGCAACGAAAAGGAAAGTTTAATCCCAGCACTTGGGAGGCGGAGGCAGGCAGGATCTCTGAGTTCGAGGCCAGCCTGGTCTACATAGGGAGTTCCAGGACAGCTCTGTCTCAAAAGACAAAAAAAAAAAAAAAAAAAAAAAAAAAAAATTCCCAGGCTTACAGGGAACTGTGTCTGTCGTTTCTGTTTTTGTTTTTCTGGTTGTCTTCCCACCTCTCTTATATTTCCCAGTACCTGTCTTTGGCTTACCATATTAGTGACTGTGGTACCACTTTGGTTTTTGAGCTCCCAAGCCTACCACTCTGACAAGCACTAATTTTCTTTTTTTTTGCGGGGGGGGGGGGTCCAAATTTTTATGAGAAAAATTTGGTCAGGGAGTAATGAATTATTTCTTCTTGGGCCAGTTTGCCTTCTGTGTTTGGAAGAAGAGTGTGAGAATCACCCTATAGGAATAGGACTACTGAGGCCATCTTGGTAGCACATGTCTTTAATCCCAGCACTTGAGAGGCAAAGGTGGGTGCAACTCTATGAGTGCGAGGCCAGCCTGGTCTACTTAGTGAGTTCCAGGCCAGCTGGGGCAACAGGGAGGCCTTGTCTCAAAAAGACCAAAAAAAAAAAAAGGAAAAAAATGGTCTCGCACTGTATCCTACACTGCCTTTAACCCCCCCCCCCCGCCCCGCTCCTCCCCCCAGTCCTCCTGTGTTGGCCTCCCAAGTGTTGGGTTACAGGCAGGCGCCACCACATCCAACTTCAACTTCACACTTTGGTATAAAGGGAAGTCATGATGTTCTCTTGTTGCGTTAATGAATGAATAGTTCTTGTAACAACTGAAGTAATTGGTTTAATGTCATTGTTTTGGGCAAAATTTGAACAGTTTCTTGTGAGGAAGGCATTTGAGGAAATTATTTGTTAGTTTGAAATGCTATATTTAGATTCATTTTAATCATACCCTTTTTTCTTTTCCTTTCAGAAAAGTCCTATGCAGAAGCTGGGTCGGCAAGGACATCACTCCTTATATTGCTGTGCATTTTCTCATGTGCAGCTTTTGTTATGTTTTTGGTATATAAAAATTTTCCTCAGCTTAGTGAGTAAGTATATCATGAGAGAAACTGAAACATCTAAGTATTTTAGAGGTAAAAAGCTAAATTCGCTTTAGCAGCAGAACTGTTAGGACATTTGTATACCAGCTCTCATGGACTGGAGCAGCTGTATTTCAGGTTTCACTCTTGGTGTGTCTTCTTCCTTTCTGCCTGCCTTCCTGTTTTTGCTAGCCCAAGCTTACTTTAAACTCCCTGTTCTGCCAAGAGTAACATTGAACTTATGGTTCTCCTGCCTCCACCACCCAAGTGCTGGAATTATGTACATGTGCCACCACCCCCCAGTTCATGTGCTGGGATGGAACCCAGGGCTTTATGCATGCTATGTGAGCACTCTGCAAACTGAGCTACATCCTCAGTTTCCTTCCCTTCCTTTCCTTCCTTCCTCCCTTCCCTTCCTCCCTCTCTCTCCTTCCCTCCCTCTATCCTTCACTCCTTCTCTTTCTTACTTTCTTGTTCCCTTCCTCCTTCCTTTCCTTTCTCCCTCCCTCTCTTTTATTTTACTTATTTAAGCAAAGTTGGGATTTATTAAGAAAAAGGATAATAGTCCATACCCAAGGGCGGGTACAGACTTCTCAAGCTAAGAAGTCACCTTGCTTCTGGATTTTCTGTGGAAGGCTTTCCTAGCACTGCTTCTCTAATGAAGAACTCATCTGGAGAGATGACTTAGCAGTTGAGAGCACCTGCTCAAGATGCATATAAACAAACAAATGAATAAATAATAAAAATGTCTTCTGATAAGTATATTTGGGGAAAAAAGCCTTTGAAAACCATTTGAAAGATGAGGTGTTTTTTGGGAGTGGGTGTCTTTTTGAAACAGGGTTTCCCTGTAGCCCCAGCTGGAATGGAACTTGCTATGTAGACCAGGCTAGCCTGGAACATCTGCCTACCTCTGCCTCCCAAGTGCTGGGATTAAAGGCATGCACCACCACTCCTGGCAGGTTTTTTTTCTTTTAAACTTAAATTTTTTTTAGGGCCATGGAGAAATGGCTCAGTGGTTATGAGCAGTGGCCAGAGGGTTCAGTTCCTGGCACTCTAATTGTGGCCAACAACTGTTTGTAACTCCAGTTTGAGGGATTCGCCACACTCTTCTGATTTCCATGTGCATTGCATGATGTAAGGGCACTTACATACATGTTGGCAATACACTTATACATACAAAAATAATAAAATAATTTTAAGTGTTTTGTCTGCATAATAGACACATGAGGCATGTGACCATGGAGGGCAGAAGAGGGTGTGAGATACCCTGGAAATGCAGTTACAGGTAGTTGTTAGCCATGTGGGTGCTAGAAACTGAAGCTGGGTCTTCTGCAAGAACAGCAAGTGTTCTTAACTGCTGAACTGTCTCTCCAGAACCAGCCCCTACACACACATACACACACAAAAATCTTCATTATGTAGCCCAAGGTGATCCTTGAGCTTGGGATCCTCCCGCCTCAGCTTCTTGGTGTTGGGATTGCAAGTATTTACCAGCTTGTCCAGTGAAGAGATTTTTATATTGTGACCCTGTACATGGTTTCTCTTTCAATATTTATTTTTATTTTATGTGTGTGTGAGCTATATTCTCAGCTCCAATATTTTGCTCTTAAGTACTGAGCCATCTCCCCAGCCCCAAGATTTTAATTTTAGATCTTTTCAGGGTTTTGGTCAAGGAGAAGAAAATAAACAGCTGATTTAAGGAAGAAAAGAACAGGTTCTAGATTAAAGTCTTTGCTTCCAATCTATGAATAGTAGCATACTTCTTATATGTTACTTGTACCTACCTACCTACCTACCTACCTATCTTTTATTTAATTTTTTCCGGTCTTTTTGAGACAGGGTCTCCCTGTACTCCCTGTAGCCCCAGCTGTCCTGGAACTCACTATGTAGACCAGGCTGGCCTTGAACTCACAGGGATCCACCTGCCTCTGCCTCTGGAGTGCTGGGATCAAAGGCATGTGCCACCATGCCCAGCTACTTATTTTTTTATGTATTTGTTTGTGTTTGTACTCTCCTATAGAGTCTACTTTTTAAATTTCATCAATGAGGGTCTGTAGAGATGGCTCAGCAGTTAAGAGCACTTACTGATCTTGTAGAAGACTTGAGTTTGGTTCCCAGCTCCCACATGATGTCTAATGACCATCTCTGTAACTTCAGATTTGGGAAATCTGATACCCTTTTCTGGCCTCCACAGGCACTGCACACATGTAATATGTAATGCATGTAGGCAAAACACTCATACACATAAAATGAAAGTTTAAAAGCTGGGGCTGGAGAGATGGCTCAGTGGTTAAGAGCACTGGTTGCTCTTGTAGAGGACCTGGGTTCAGTTCCCAGCAACCACATGGTGACTAACAACCATCCATAACTCCCATCCCAAAGGATCCTACACCCTCTTCTGACCTCTGCAGGCATTGCGTAACACAACTGGAGTTACAGACTGTTGTTAGGTGCCATATATGGTGCTGGGAATTGAATCCTGGTCCTTTGCAAGAGCACACAGTGAGTGCTCTTAACTGCTGAGCCATTTCTCCAGCCCCTGGAATTTCTCATAAGTAAGAAGTCATTTATCTAAACAGGACAACAAATAGGAAGTAAAATAAGAAGCTGGAGAAAGTAAAAAGCTAGGAGAGGTGGTGTGAGTCTACAATCCCAGCTACTTCGGAGGTTTAGGCAGGACTTTGTGGGCAGCCTGGGCTTCATAGCAAGACTCTGTCTCCATAAATGGAGGTAAGCTGGGTGTGGTGGTACATGCCTTTAATCCCAGTACTCAGAAACAGAGGCAGGCCTATCCCTGAGTGAAGAGTGTAGAGGTTAACTTTCTTTCCTGAACTTTGAGCTGGGATATTCAGAAAGTGTCAGGTGTGATTCATGGAAAGTTTTGCTTTTCATTATAAATGAATATTGACTTTAGCTTATCATGAAGATTATCCAAAAAGATGTTAAATATGTTTTTAACATGCTACCATCCACAGCTTATTAATGTTTAGTTTCAAATGTAAGCCATTATTTGAACAAATGTTTTTCATCTTTGGTTCGGGTAATTCTGAACTTTTCTGTTCACGCATGTGTGTGCATGTGTGCACACATGCATAAATGTTTCCAGACCATTGAATGTAAAAACCGTAAATTTGTTCTTAACATGTTGTAGATCATTTTGGCTTAAAACTCTGTTTTAAACTTGACTTTGACTTTTATAATGTTGAAATTCTATTTTTAAAAAAGTTTCCCTTTATCAATTTTATTTCTTTAGAGAGGAAAGAGTGAATATGAAGGTTCCCAGAGATATGGATGATGCCAAGGCTCTAGGAAAAGTTTTATCCAAATATAAGGACACCTTTTATGTTCAAGTACTTGTAGCTTATTTTGCTACATATATTTTGTATCCTTTTAAATGAAAAATGTTTTCTAATAAGGAAAGGTTCAAAAGGTTTAGTGTTTAGTTATACAAAATAACTGCTTTTCCTTTTAAAATTGTTAATGTAGATTTACAGTATTAAAATACTAAAAATGTGAAATGGGAAAAAGTTCTCAATTTATCACCTCTACTCAATTATTTTTACTTCTGTACATGTTACTGTTTAAAAAGTATTCTGTTTCACTTACCATTTTCTTTTACTTTTATTTGGGATATTATTTTTATTTTACTTACAGCTACTTTTGTAGGTTTTTTTTTTTTTTTGTCTTTTTGAGACAGGGTCTCCCTGTAGCCCCAGCTGGCCTTGTACTCACTGTGTAGAACAGGCTGGTCTTGAACTCACAGAGATCCGCCTGCCTCAGCCTCCCAAGTCCTGAGATCAAAGGTGTGTGCCACCACGCCTGCCCAGCATAGTTAAATAATCTCTAAAATTTAAATAATTGGGCTAGAGAGATGGCTCTGCTAGTTAAGAGCACTGATTATTCTTGCAGAAGACCCAGGTTCAAATCCCAGCACCCATATGGTGGCTAACAACCATCTATAACTCCAGTTCCAGGGACTCTGACATCCTCTTCTGGACTTCATGAGCATTACATAGCACAGTGAACTTAGAATACTGCAGGTACAACACTCATACACATTGAATAAATTAAGTAAATAAATAAGTAAATAAAAAAGTTTAAAAAATTAAATGATTATTTTGAATCACAAATTACCATATTTTTATTATTTCTTTATTTATTTGGTCTTTTTGAGATAGGGTCTCCCTATAGTCCCAGCCAGCCTATGTAAACCAGGCTAGCCTCAATCTCATAGAGATTTGCCTGCTTCCTGAATGTTGGAGCTAAAGTTTTCTCTTAGATTGGGCAGTTATTTAATAGTACATAGATTTTGTTAAGGAATTTATAATGCTTCTGGACACCTGTAAACCCAGGGTTTACCAAATGCATTTGGTTTAAGGTTTGTTTTTGTTTTTGTTTTTTTTTTTTGGTCTTTTTGAGGTAGGGTCTCTCTGTAGCCCTAGCTGTCCTGGAACTCACTATGTAGACCAGGCTGGCCTTGGACTCACAGAGATCTGCCTGCCTCTGCCTCCTGAGTGCTGGGATTAAAGGCGTATGCCACTACTCCCGGCTGGTTTAACTTTAAAAAAAAAATATTTTATTATTTTTATTTTATGTGTATGAGTATTATGCCTGCATGAGGTAAATGCACCCCTGTTGTGCAGTGCCCGCGGAGGACAGAAGAGGCTGTCAGATCCCCTGGAACTGGAGTTATAGACAGTTGTTAGCTGCCATGTGGTTGCTGGGATATGAACCTGAGTCTTCTGCAAGAACAGTCAGTGTTCTTAACTGCTGAGCCATCTCTCCAGCCCTGGTTTAACATTTTATTTATTTATTTTTGGTCTTTTTGAGACAGGGTCTCCCTGTAGCCACAGCTGGCCTGGATTTGCTATGGAGACCAAGCTGGCCTCGAACTCACAGAGATCTTCCTGCCTCTGCCTCCTGAGTGCTGGGATTAAAGGCGTGCGCCACCATGTCTGGCTAGTTTAACATTTTAAACAAGATAATAGTTGAGGTGTAAATCCAACAAGTTTTATTACACGTGGTTACTATTCATTTGATTAGTAATAATGATTTCACAGGTTTTAGGTTTTTATATAGAATAATTTGTTAAACCCAAATTTTGTTTAAAAATTGGGTTAATTTTTCTTAAAAAAATTTATTTTTGTTTTATGTGTACGAGTGTATTGTCTGCATGTGTGTGAGTGTACCTGTGTAGTGCAGTGCCACGGAGGTCAGAAGAGGACTTCAGATTTCCCCCGGTACGGAGTTAAGGACGGGTTTGTAGCCCCCATGTGGGTGCTGGGAATTGAACCCGGGTCCTCTGCAAGAGCAGTCAGTGCTCTTAACCTTTGAGCCATCTCTCCAGTCCCTTATTTTCATTGTTTTAAATTTTTTTCTTATTAGTGTGTGTGTGAAGAACAAAATATGGATAGCTTTCTGGATTTGGCTTGTCTTTACATCTTTATGTGGATTCCAGGGCTCAAGTTCAGGTCTCCAGGCTTGCATGACAGATACTTTCACCCACTCAACCATCTCACTGGTCCTATTCAGAATTTTGAATATTAAATGTTCAATGTGAAAAAAGGACTTTTTGAGTTTAGTGACTAAAAGGGGGAAATATTTGATCTTAGTGCATATAACAGTGGTTTACTAGTGCAGGACTGGTTGGTGGAATTGGGTGACCCACATTTAATTTGACATTTTTATGTTAGGTACATGAGGAAAAGTACAAAAGAGCACCTAAAATGAGTTATCATATGTTTTACAGGAGTCTATGTGCCAGAAAACTATCTCAGAAACAAAGAATAGTGTGACAATGTACAAAGGAGCCAGGGATGGTAGCACATGCTTTTATAATCTCAGTACTCTGGACGCAGACACGGGTGGGTCTGTGAGTTCCAAGCTAGCCAGGGCTACATAGTGAGACCCTGTCTCAATAAAAAGAAGATTTGTAAATTTTAATCTATTTGATAACACCTTTCTTTTAAATAAGTAGTTGAGGTAAATTTAGTTCAATTAGAAGTAAATGTTTGAGGGACTGGAGAGATGGCTCAGCAGTCAAGAGCACTGACTGCTCCTTCAGAGGACCCAGGTTTGATTCCCAGCACCAGCATGATGGCTAAGAAATGTCTGTAATTCCAGTTCCAGGGGATCTGACACCTTCTGACTGCTATGGGCATTGCACAACACGAGTACACTTACACACATACAGGCAATACGTTCATACACATAAAATAAAAGTAACAAAATATTTTTTAAAAAGAAATAGATGTTTGAATTAGTAAGTATCAGAATTTGCATAGGAATCATATTTCCTAATAACATTTGGGAGTAAATGCACTAGAGAAATATGTTATTCAAAATACTACTGAAGGGCTGGCAAGATGGCTCAGCAAGTAAAGATGTCTACCTCTAAAACTGATGACCTGAGTTGATCCTTGAGGCCCAAATGGTGGAAGGAGAAAACCAACTCCCACAAGTTGTCCACACATGTCCTGTGACACATCCATACATGCACACACAAAGTTAATAAATAAATGTAACTTTAAATTTTAAAAGAATTACTGCTTTTTTTGCCACTTTGCCCAGTTCCTCTTTATGTGGTGTTTGTTAATCTTCCTTTCAAATCTTTTTTTTAAAAATATTTTTATTATTTTTATGTGTATGTGTATATTGTCTCCATGTCGGTAAGTGCACCCGTGTTGTGCAGTGCCCGCGGAGGACAGAAGAGGCTATTGGATCCCCTGGAACTGGAGTTACAGACAGTTGTTAGCTGCCATGTGGGTGCTGGGATTTGAACCCAGGTCTTCTGCAAGAACAGCCAGTGTTCTTAACCACTGAGCAATCTCTCCAGCCCCTTAGCAGTGAAATTTTACCAATGTTGTATTATTAACTTATTTCATATTATTTCATATTTATATTATTTAGTCACTGGGCAGCTTAAAACTGGAGCTATTCTGGTTGGCGAGTTATATTTTTTATACATTTGGGTATAATTTTGCATTATTGTTGAGTAAAAGTTGAGCATTCCTAATCCAAAAGCAAAAAGTAATTCCAAATTCTCCAAACTCCGCAACTTTTTTTTAGTGTGGACATGATACTGCAAGTGGGAAACTCTGCACCTGATATGAGAGATTTCAGTCAGATACAGGCCCAGTGCTGTATAATGTGACCTTCAGGTTGTATGGATGAGGCATGTATGAAACACTAATGAATTTTCTCTCTAGGTTTAGTTCCTAGCCTTAACGATGTTTCATCATTTGGCTCCTGAAATTTTATTCTTAAGCTAAAGCCTAACATCAATTGTTTGGATTTATTCACTAATTTAATCACAAGTACAAGTACTCAGAATCTGAAAAAAATCCAAACCACTTGTGTAAGCAGACATTTTGAGTGAAGGGTACTCAACCTGTGCAGAATATAGATAGAATCTCATTAGCATGATCATTTTTGTATTTGTAGTTTTTCTTAAATGTTGGGTTTCTCTCTCTAAAATTCCACTTAATTATGTCTTAATCCTTAACCTAGAAGTGAACAGTTTGCAGACGTTTGCAATTCCAGGTTCTATATTTCTCAGTATCCTCTCGGGCTTCCTTTACCCCTTCCCACTTGCCTTGTTCCTTGTTTGTCTGGTAAGTATATGAAATGAGTTGGGAGACTGGAAAAAAATAGATTGAATGAGGATGGCAATGGCATCTTGTCTTGCTAGTGTTCATAAGCATAAACCCATTAGTTAGCAGTACAAGTGACACCTGCCAAGTCCCTCATAAGCAGGTGTTGGAGAGTTTGTTTCTTTCTAGAGCAGGGGTACTATAGACTCCCTTTATAAGTCCTATATTAGTCTTTCTTTCCCATTATGGTTTGCTGCACGTAGCCTAAGAATGTTGGTGGGTACTGAGTTCTAGGACTGAGAGTAGTGTTTTCAGTTAGTGGGGGAAAGGGCTCTTTCTATTAGGCGATAGGCTAATAGTAATTACTGGACATGATCACTAAGTCTAATCACAAATGCCAATGTATTTTAACTGATCTTGTTAGTTGGGTTTGAGAAAGGATTAGGTAAGATGGGTTCTCATTCTCTGAACAGAAGTGCCGCAAAGAGAAGCTTGACTGTCCCTAAAAGTAAACTTTGTTTTTAGTAAAAGTAAAAGGAAGTTGAGCTTTTCTTCAGATAAATATATCCACATGAATGAGATGGGAAAACTAAAATGCACGTGGGCTCTTCTTTTCCAGTGTTCAGGACTTGGAGCCTCCTTCTGCTACATGCTCTCCTATTTAGTTGGAAGACCAGTTGTATACAAATACCTAACAGATAAAGCACTAAAATGGTCACAACAGGTAGGCATATGCTTTGATGTTTGTTTCTTTGTGTTTTTTTGTTTTTGCCACCATTTGAAAAAAATAGTGTCATAAAGAAATTTATTTAATCCCAGCACTTGGGAGGCAGAAGCAGGCAGATTTCTATGAGTTCGAGGCCCGCCTGCTATACGCAGCGAGTTCCAGGTCAGCTGGGGCTACAGGAAGACCCCTGTCTCAAAAAGACCAAAAAAAAGAAAAATTAAAGCATGCTGTGGTTAGTTTTGATTATTAACTTGGCATAGTATGGAATCACCTGGGAAGGGAGTCTCAGTGAGGAATTGGGTGGATTGTGTTGGTTTGTGGGCATGCCTATGAGGAATTTTTAGTTGGGTTAATGGAGGTGGAAAGAGGCACCCTAAAGTAGTGAGTAACACTGTTTCATGGCTGGGCCTGGATGGAAAAGGGGAGTGAGCTGAGCACTAGCATCATATGCTAATCCAGTACTTACTGCTCTTTTCAGATGGCCTGGAACTCACTATGTAGACCAGGCTGGCCTGGTTATCATAGAGATCTGCCTATCTCTGCCTCCCAGTGCTGGGACTATAGGCATCCACCACCATGTGGGCTCAGCTTGCTCCTTGCTCATTACTGTGGATGTAATGTGACCAGTTCCCAAGCATCTGTCCCTGTGGCTTACCTGCTAGGATGGTCTGTAACCTGGAAATTGTGGGCTGGAGCAAACTCTTTCTCTTTGATTTTTGTCCAGGTATTTTATCATAACAACAGGAAATAAAATGAAGACAAAGCGATTCTTTTATTTTTACTTTAAGCGACAGAGTCAGTAGCCCAGGCTGGCCTCAACTCACTGTATAGCCAAGGGTAACCTTAAGTAGCTTTTTTTTCTTTTTTCTTTTTAATTTGAGAAGGAAGATTTATGCCGGATATGGTGGTATATGTCTTTAATCCCAGCACTCAGAAGGCAGAGGTAGGCAGATCTCTGTGAGTTCAAGGCCACCTGGTCTACATAGCAAGTTCCAGGCCAACTGGGGCTATAGGGAGACCCTCTCTCAAAAGACTTAAAAAAAAAACAAATAAAAAATGAAAATTTAGTCTTTGATAGTTTCATACATGTATACAGTGTATCTTGATTATATCCAACCCAAATTCTTCTTCCCCCTCCCCTATCCCCTCAATATTTCCTTTTCTGCCTTCATATCTTCTTATACTTTAAAAACATAACCCACTGAGTCCGTTTAGTACAGCCTCTATGTGCATGGATGTGTGACCATCCACTGGAGCATAGGCAACTACCAGCAGCCACTCCTGAAGTAAAATGGTTCCTCCTCCCCAGCAGCCGTCGACTGTCATGCGCTCCTTAGCTGGGGTGGAACCTCATGAGCCCTATCCCATTTATGCTGAGATATAGATTGGGTTGATCTTGTGGCATCTTGTGCAGGTAACCATAGCTGCTGTGATTGCATTTCATCGCAATCTTTCCTATTCCGGCTTTTAGATTCTTTCTACTCTCCTCTTCCACAATGTTCCTGAGCCTTGGCAAGGTTGATATAAATGGCCTATTTAGGTCTGAGCACTCAACAGTCACTCCTAGCACTTACTACTTAGGAGCCTGTGTATTGACTGCTATCCACTGCAAAAAGAAGCTGGTCAAGGTTGAGGATAGCACTTATATATTTAGAAAGCAGTCTGACAACACAGTTATTCAGTGAAACAACAGTAAGTAGTATGCTCCACCTAGGCCTATGGCTTCCCCATTCATGGGCTTTTGACCAGGTTTACAGTACCACATTTTTGGGTTTTTCAGATGTAGCCTTGCTGTATTGCCTCTACATTCACTACACATAGACCAGGCTGGTCTTGACCTTAACAGTGATCCTCCTGCCTCTGCTTCTAGTGCTGGGACTACAGGTGTGTGGCCTTGTGTTTGGCTCTGTTTGCCTGTTTGTTTGGGGAAAAAGGGTTTATTTTGGCTTATAGTTCCAGAAATAGAGTCCATCATGGTGGGAAGACATGGCAGCAGGCAGGGAAGGCATGGTGGCAGGAAGACAGCAGGTAGGGCCCACCCCAATGACTCGCTTCCTCCAGCAAGACTCCACTTCCTAAAGGTTCCATAACCTTCCCAAATAGTGCCATCAGCTGGGGACCACTTTTTTTTTTTTTCTTTTTGAGACAGGATCTCTCTGTAGCCCCAGATGGACTGGAACTTGCTATATAGACCAGGATGGCCTCGAACTCACAGAGATCTGCCTGCCTTGGCCTCTCGAGTGCTGGGATTAAAGGCATGGGACCAAGTATTTAGAGGCATGAGTCTGTGGGGCACATTTCACATTTTATTTATATGTGTGTGTGTGAGTGTATTACCTGCATGTATGTAAGTGCACCCGTGCCATGTGATTCCCCCAGAGGTCAGAAGGTGTTGGATACCCTGGAACTGGAGTTATGGATGGTTGTTAGACACCATGTGGGTGCTGGGAATTGAACCTGGGTCTTCTGCAAGAGCAATCAATGTTCTAAACTGCTGAACCATCTCACCAGCTCTCAAAATAATGTTTTTTATTTGAGAATTTCATACATGTATACACTGTATTCTGGTCATATTTACCACCAAATTTTCTTCCTTCAACTGCCCCCTGGACCCATTCCCCAACACATCCCCCTCAGACTTCATGTCCTTTTTCTTCTTCTCTTTTTCAAATTTATTATTTTTATTTTACATGTATGCGTGTATTGCTTACATGTAGGTAAATGCACCCATGCCGTGCAATGCCTATGGAGGACAGAAGAGGCTGTTGGATTCCCCTGGAACTGAAGTTATGGACAGTTGTTAGCTGCTATGTGGGTGCTGGGATTCAAACCCTTGTTTTCTGCAAGAACAGTGTTCTTAACTGCTGAGCCATCTCTCCAGCCCCCTTCTTTTTTAAAAAAATATTTTTAAATATTATTTTTATTTTATGTATATGAGTGTATTGCCTGCATGTGTATAACTGCATTTGTGTTGTGCAATCCCCGTGGAGGTCAGAGAGGGCTTCGAATCCCCTGGAACTGGAGTTACACACAGTTGTTAGCAGCCATGTGGGTGCTGGGAATGGAACCTGGATCCTCTGCAAGAACAGTCAGTGCTCTTAACCACTGAGCCATCTCTCCAGTCCTTTTCTTCTTCTTTTTTCTTTTAAAATATATCCCACAGAGTCCAGTTGGTGTTATATATGTGTAATAGGTGTAGGGTCTTCCTGTAGCCCCAGCTGGCCTGGAACTCACTATGTAGAGCGGGTTGACCTGGAACTCACAGGTTCCAGGCTGATCTGCCTGCCTCTGCCTCCTGAGTGCTGTTATTAAAGGCGTGTGCCACCACTCCTGGCATGTAACCTTAGCTTTAAATTATGGAATGTAATGGATTAATTTGGGGTATGTAGCCCCTGTATAAACATAATTTGTATAGGGACTATGTGCATGTATTTATTAGATCAGATAATTAAATTTTATGCATGAAATTAACTCATAATAAAAATTCTTTTGCTGTGTGTAGTGGGAGTTCTAGCATGGCCTGGCACATGCTAGTACTCAGGAGGCAGAGACAGGTAGATCTCTCTGTGAGTTCCAGGACAGCAGGTCTACATAGTGAGACTGTCTCAAAAAACCCTCAAAACACAGAAGCATAATCCCTGGAACCCACAGACCCACATAGTGGAAGGAAAGAACCAACTCTCACCTTCATTTGTCCTCTAACCTTCACCTTGTGTGCCATGGCCACACATGTGCCAAACACAGAATTTAAAATTTTTTTTTTTTTTTTGCCGGGCGTGGTGGTGCACGCCTTTAATCCCAGCACTTGGGAGGCAGAGGCAGGTGGATCTCTGTGAGTTCAAGGCTGGCCTGGTGTACATAGTAAGTTCCAGGTCAGCTGGGGCTACAGGGAGACCCTGTCTCAAAAAGACCAAAAAAAAAAAAAAAAACAAGGCAACCAAAACTAACTAAAATTCAGATGGCTCAGTAGATAAGAGCACTGGCCACAAAAGCCTAAGTTCAAACTTGGGTTTGATCCCTGGAACGCATGTAAAGGTGCAAGGAAAGAACCAACCCCACACTCACCCAGCGTGACACAAAATAATAAATTTAAAAGTTTAAAAATTGTACTTTTTTGTGGTATTGGGATTGAACCCTGGGCCTGGCACATGCTAGGCAAGTACTGTACCACTGAGCTACAAACCCAGACCCTCTCCCCTAAAGAAAAATTGTTTATTTTGAATCTCAAGTATCAAAGATGATAATTTGAAATAAGCTTATTTTTCAAGATTGGCCTTATCTGATGCTGGTTCTTTTCTTTCTGATAACAGGTTGAGCGTCATAGAGAACATCTCATCAACTACATTATATTTTTGAGAATAACACCATTTCTGCCTAATTGGTTTATTAACATTACATCTCCTTTGATAAATGTGCCATTGAAAGTATTTTTTATTGGCACTTTTCTAGGTAAGACCTCTGCTGTGTGGCTTGTTGTGTATGTATCCAGTTGGCCCAGACTGCATGCTGTGTGCAGAATTGCCAGTAGCATATAGAGCTCTGGGTACAAAGGCTGGCCTGATTGCACATAAAGGAATGCTGTTCATAGTGCTATTTGAGTGTTATCTCTAACCTAGACCTTGGATATGTCAGGAAAGTGGCTCTACCACCAAGCCATACCCTTAGCCCAAGGAGAGGTTTGTTTTTTTTTTTTGTTTGTTTGTTTTTTGACCCAGCAGCCCTTCTTTGTTTGCAAATAGGAGTCACAGTTAAGCCAGAGACAGCATGCTCTCAGGCCTATAAGCTTTATTGACTGAAAGCTCTTCTCATGAGCCTGGTGTGCTGGGATTGGGTTTCCCTAATGGGCACCCCAAGCCCGAGCTCTCCCTCTCCTCTGGCCTTGCAGAGTATGTGATAGTGACAACTAACTGATCAAAGATGACTCTTCCTTGTACTTGCTCTGTCAGAAAAGCTTTTCTGTGTTCCCACACAGAACTTTTTAATTCCACTATTCCTTTCAGTAGATAGAAAAAACATTAGCTTCCTGTTTTTGAACTTTTTTGTCTGCATTCTAATCAAGTATTGAAATACTAAACTTTAGAGGCTGCAGAGTTGGCAGAGTTGTTAAGAGCACTGGCTACTCTTGCAGAGGACCTAGGTTCAGTTCCCAGCATCCACATGGCTACAACAACCATCATGTCAAGTTAATGTCCCCAGACGTCCCTCAGTGTACAAGTCACCCACTGAGGTCTAGTCAGCCTATCTAGAATCCTTCCCTTTAGGAAGATCAGCTCTTCCTCACCTAGCAGAAATGAGCTGCCAATAATTCTTTAAGATTGGGGCAGCAGCGTTTGTAACCACTGAGCCCTCCCTCCAGCCCCCCTTGTATATACTTTGTATAAACTTCTGTTTCTACTCAGACTTTAAATTTCTTCCTACCTTCTACCATTTCTTTTTGTTTGTAGTGGAGGTAGATGGCCTCTTTTTATAATTTTTTATGTGTATGAGTGTATTGCCTACATGTGTGTAAGTGCACCCATGTTGTGCAGTGCCCGTGGAGGTCAGAATAGGGCATTGGATTCCCTTGGAACTGGAGTTAAGGATGGTTGTTAGCCACCTGTGGGTGCTGGGAATCAAACTCAGGTCCTCTGTAAGAGCAGCCAGTGCTCATAACCACAGAACCATCTTTCCAGCCCTAAACCCAGCCTTTTGCATGCTAGTCTAGCACTCTGCTACTGGACTGGAGATGCTGGGCCTGAACATAGGGCCTCATGCATGCTAGGCAAATACTATTCATTGAGTTATATCCCCAGCCCTCTGTTTTTTACTTTTTACTTTGAGACAGGGTCTAAATTGCCCAGACTGGTCTTCATCTTGGTATCTTTCTGCCTCAGCCTACCTAGTAGTTAGAATTACAGGGCTTATTATTTTATAAAGCTTACTAAATGTTGTTAGATAGTTCTTGGAACGCACTTTCTTTTTTGTCCCGCACCCTCACATTTTCTTGGGTTTTTAAATTCATTATCCTTACGAGATGATTATGAAAGACTGGATAATTCAAATGGGACTAAATTTAATGAGCTTTAAGATTTTGGGTTTGGGGGCTTTTGTGGTACTGTATATTAAACCTAAGAATTTGCATTTGCTAGCCTGAGCTATATGCCTAGTGGAGCTTTAAATTCTTGATCTTGCCTTCAAAATGGAAATACCTGTGTTCTTAAAAGACAGTTTATGCACACAGAAATGTTTATTTGAAGAAAATGTTTGGTGATTTTACTGCATTTCCCTTTTGTTGGTGGACTCGCTCACTTTGTCTGACAGGCTGCCGATGCCCCTCACTCATACTGTTTTGTATTTTGTATTTTAGGTGTTGCACCTCCCTCTTTTGTAGCAATTAAAGCAGGAACAACACTGTACCAGCTTACAACAGCAGGGGAAGCTGTTTCCTGGAACTCAGTATTTATTCTCATGATTTTGGCTGTTCTTTCGATTCTGCCAGCCATCTTCCAAAAAAAACTAAAGCAGAAATTTGAGTGAAAAATCACCTGTTTTAGTTATCACCACCAGTCATCTCAGGATTAGCAGGTGCATCCATTTTATGTTTTGAAATCACCTCTTATGTAATTGAAAGAAGGAATTTGTGAAATAAAATTCCCATGAGACAGTTAAAAAATGCTTTACTGTGGCAAGGGAGAACAGAGATTGGTATGTTATGAAAAGTGCTGTCATCAAGAGTTATGATAGAGATCTACAATTTACCAAGAGTAGCTGTAGTTAGGGAATTCATAGTGACCTGGTAAAAATTCTTACTCTAAATTATTCATTTAATTTGGTATTTTTCTCTTTATGTCTGATAACTAAAATAAATAGAGAATTTGTGTACAATGGCACAAGCTTGTAATCCCAGTTCCTTATGACACTGAGGCCAGAGGGGTACTAGTTTGGGACCAGCTTGAGCAATATAACAAGACCCTGTCTTAAAGTAAAATGAATAAAAATGAAATAAAATAAAAATTCAGAGCACAGCCTGCTGTGGTGGTGCACACCTTTAGTCCCAGCACTTGAGAGGTGGATGCAGGCAGATCTCTATGAGTTCAAGGCCAGCTGGGGCTACAAGGAGACCCTGTCTTTGAGACCAAAAAAAAAAAAAAAAATTCAGAGCACAAACTGAATACTTGAAACTTAAAAGATGCCATTTTCTTTCTCTTTTTAGATAGCACTGTTCATAGACCAATGAATATGTAATATGTAGAAAGGATGTTGAATTACCTACTTTGTGAAAATTTTTATTACTTTTTCATTATAGATTTTTATCATGAACTAGTCTGGTAATTTAAATTCTGGCTAGTCTGTTTTCATCCTTTTTTTCCTAGGTTTTACAGTATTTCCACTGTGCATATGTAAAATGGGAATTATAAAACTGTATTATATTGGTGTTGATAATGTATATTCAGATAATAATATTTTGTTACAATGTCTTTATTATCTCAAAAGGGGTTCTAAAAAGTACTCAACACATAATTTTCAGACATTAGAATAATTATTTTCTATTTTCAAACAAACTGGCAGTAGGACATTAGTGGTTAAATACAGTTCCAATAGTTTGTTCCAATGACTTATAAAATTACCTCGTTTATTTATCTGCTCACTAAAGATGTATTATGTAATTGTCTCTTTTCTGCATGGTCTGTCTATAGATTGCTTTGTTTCCTTTCTATTGATGCCTCTTTTTATTTAGGACACCTTTTGAGTAATTCAGTTCCCAATTGTAGAGCTTTTACTTTTCTAACTCACAAAGTGAAATAGCTTCTTACCTGGTAACTGTTGCATTGAAATATTTCTGGGCAGAGGAAAGTCCTCTTTGCTGTTTGATTATGCCCTTGATTCCATGCCAGGACAGACCCAATCTGTACTCTCTGTTTTACTTTTAGCCCAAGACTGTCGATATGTTGAACAATTACTTAAGCTGTGTGCCAGATCCTTGTATGTTTTTATCCTTCAAGGTCTGATCATCTCAAAGCCTATTTTTCCTACTGCATAATGTGGACTGATCTTTTTCTCTTAACAGTATTAACAAGCAGAGGAATTATAAATAGGAGGAAAATTATATTACTATACTAGTCTATGTCACTAATTGTTATTTCTAGCAAAATTTTCTTATTGACCAGAGACTGAGTGATCAAGTTTTTGTTATTTTTTACAAATGAATTAAAAAATAGTTGTTTGGGACAAAGTTCCCTATTATTGCATAAAATATCATTGAGGGGTTGGAGAGATGGCTCAGTGGTTAAGAACACTTGCTGTTCTCCCAGAAGACTCAGGTTCGATTCCCAGCATTCACATGGCAGCTAACAACTGTCCATAACTCCACTTCCAAGGGATCTGACACCCTCTTCTGGCCAGCACAATTTTTGCATGACATGGGTGCACTTACATAAATGCAGGCACTATACTCATACATGAAATAAAAATAACAAAATGTTTTTTTAAAGTTATCATTGATGAGCCGGGGATGGTGGCACATGCCTGTAGTCCCAGCACTTGGGAGGCAGAGGCAGGCGGATCTCTTTGAGTTCAAGGCCAGCCTGATCTACATAGTGAGTTCCAGGACAGCTGGGGCTACAGGGAGACCCTGCTTCAAAAAGACCAAAAAAAAAAAAATTATCATTGAAGCTGGGCATGTGGACACACGCCTGCAGTCCCAACACTTGGGTCATGGAGTCAAGAGGATCAGGAGTTCCAGGCCAACCTTGGCTACATAGTGAGTTTGAGGCCAACATGAGATCCCATCTCTTTAAAAGGAAAATAGAATAAATAAATAAATTTGTTTATATTTGAGTAAATTTTTATCAGACTTATAAAATTAAAGCTTGGATTTGGTAAAAACACTACTCTTTATTTTGTGTACGTGGTACTTAATTCTAAGAGTATTTTCTTTATCCTTACTATACATTTTTTCTCTTTGATAATTTTTTTCATACTATGCCATTTTAGTTGGATACATTTTCTTCTCCTAAGAGAGCATAATCAGTCTTTCCAGATTTTACCATTGACTTTCAAGAAAGAATTTGGACCAGCACTTGGATGACTGAGGCAGGAGGATCAGGAGCTCAAGGACAGCTTGGGTTACCTGAGATCCTGGCTCAAAGGAAAAAGCAAAATGAAACAAAAAAACCCGTAGCAGTAGATTGTACCTCCAGACACCCCAAAGTTTGTGGCCTGTGATTTCATGGAGTCACAGACTTGGCCAGATGCCAAACATAAAGCCAAGCTTTTAGTCCCCCCCCCCCATACACACCCTCTCTTTATTTTTGGTTCTGGGGATTGAACCTAGGTCCTGGCCTGTGCTTAAGCATGCACCCTGCAACTGATGTGTGATCCCCAGCAGCATCTTGAAGAGTTTCACAGTAATAGCCACAAGGGAGCAACCTGTGGTAATGGAGAGGCAAAGCAAGCCAACTAGGCACTTGATAATCTAAGGAAGTGAGACTGTTTCCTTCTTAGTTACTGGCTCTTTTCTTGAGCTCTATTACTTTGAATGTAATATATTTAAGATACTTAATAAATGTAAACTTAAATGTAAATTATACTGGAGAAAATTAAGTGTCATACTTAGGATTTATTTCATCAAAGTACACATATATTTAAACAACTTCCTTGAATAAAAATGTATTGTCTTGAAATCCTTTTTTTACTTTTAATTATCTTTTAAAATGTATGTGTATGCATGAATGTATGCCACACGTGTGTGCTGTCTCTGAAGACCAAAAGAGGGTATCAGATCCCCTGGAGCTAGTGTTACAGGGAGTGATGGGTAGACCATCAAACATGGGTGCTGGAAAGTGAACTCAGGTTTTCTAGAAGAGCAGGAAATGCTCTTAACCTCTGAGCCATCTTGCCAGTCCTTTTTATGTACTTGGAGATTGAACTCAGAGATTTGTTCATTCTAGGCAAGCATTCTACCACTAAACTATATTCTTAGCCCCCTCAAAATTCTGATAGACTTTTTACCATTAAGAAAAAAGACATGGGGCTGGAGAGATGGCTCAGTGGTTAAGAGCACTGACTGCTCTTGCAAAGGTCCTGGGTTTGATTCCTAGCACCAACAGGCAGCTAAGAACCATCCTTAATTTCAGTTCTAGGGGAATCCAACACCCTCTTCTGACCTCCATAGCATTGCATGACATGGGTGCACTCACATACAAGCAGGCAATATACTCATACACATAAAATATATTTTTAAAAAATATTATTTTTAAGTGTATGAATGTTATGCCTGCATGTAGGTAAGTGCACCCGTGTCCTGCAATGCCTGCAGGGGACAGAAGAGGCTGTCAGATCCCCTGGAACTGGAGTTACAGACATGTTAGCTGCCATGCGGGTGCTAGGATTCGAACCAGGTCTTCTGCAGAACAGTCATCTCTCCAGACTAGACTATAATCCTGGCAGTCTGAAAGCCGAGGCAGGAAGTTTATAAGTTCTAGACCAGTCTAGTCTGTAGAATAATATCCTATCTAAAATATAAAAGCACTGAAGACTTGAGTTCAGTCCCCAGAACTCATGTAAAAAAGCTGGATGTACTACTGGTGTCCATGTGTAATCCTAGCTTTCCCTTATAGTGAGATGGGAGACGGAGACAGGACAGGAGAATACCCTGGAAGCTTGTGGACCAGCCAGTCTGGAGTACAAAGCTCCGTTCCAACAAGAGAGGCCTAGCTTTTAAAATTTTTTAAATTCATTGGAAAGTTTGGAGGTGCAGGCTCGGGGCTGAAGCTGAAGATCCAAATGACTGAGGCAGCTCAAGACTATCAGTATTTATATCCTAGAACTCAGCCCTAGCTGTGTGAGCCAGTGCTTACAGGGATAGATGATTTCACTGTAGCCTGCTTCCTGGGTTCTAGAAGAGCAAGCTTGCTTGCTGTCTTTGCTGTTGAGTTCCTTCATGTATATTAGGCTGGAGGTGCATTATCAGTATCTCTGAAACCCTACCTGCCCACAGACCACTGCCTAAAGAAGCACTGAAATTTCATTCAAGTTTCTTGCAAATCCTGTTAATTTGTGGAACGTATTTTGCATGCACAACATAAAATGCTCAGGACCAGGTATGTAATGTGTAGGTGTTAAGAAGATATTAACAGACTTGGGAGGCCATTAAAGATGGCCTCTTCCTTCGTGATCAGTTTTGAATCCTAACTCATTAACATGAAAAAGCAAAGGTTCAGGCTTTGTTAAATCCCACTGATTGAAAGCTACTTCTGATGAAAAGAATGGAGTCTTGAGTTCTACCTCTGACCTGGACTGAGACATGACATTCTGATCAGCCCCAAAGATTAGAAGCTTGCATAGATTGTCCTTTCACTTAGAAGTTAATCCATTTGGGGGGCTGGAGAGATGGCTCAGCGTTTAAGAACACTGGTTGTTCTTGGAGTACCCGGGTTCAAATCCCAGCACCCACATGGCAGCTAACAATTGTCCGTAACTCCAGTCCCAGGGGATCCGACCGCCTCTTCTGACCTCCATGGGCATTGCACGACACGGGTGCACTTACCTACATGCAGGCAATACACACACACACATAAAAATAATATTAAAAAAAAAAATCCAACTGGGCCTATCAGTCCCTGGCCCAGGAGATGATGCCCTCAGGAAAGCTGATTCACCTGAAGACATGCTAAAGAGACAGGAGGAATAATCCCTTCAATGAGATAATGTGCTTGCACAGCTCAGGAGCCCCTGGGGCCATTGGTTATTGAGCTTCAGGCCAATCCTGTCTGCCTGCTTTTCTGAGTTAAAACTCCAAAAAGTGTAATTCCCCCCCCCCCGCCTTTTTTTTGTTCTGTTGAGACAGGGTCTTCCTGTAGCCCCAGCTAGCCTGTAACTCACTATGTAGACCAGGCTGGCCTCAATATTACAGAGATCCGCCTGCCTCTGCCTCCTGAGTTCTAGGATTAAAGGTATCCACCACCTCCCT